GGTTTGAACCGCCAGCTGTCTGGTTAGCAGGCAAGTGTCTTAGCCGCTATGCTACCAGGGCTCCCTATATAATATGCATATATATATATATATATATGTATATGTACATATCTATATGTTGTTAGGTGCTGATGAGTTGGTTCTGACTCATAGTGACCCTGTGTACAACAGAACGAAACACTGCCTGGTCCACAGCCATCCTCACAATTGTTGCTATTGAGCCCATTTTTGCACCCATTGCATCAGCCCATCTCACTGAGGATCCTCCTTTTTCACTGACCCTCTACTTTACCAGCCCAATATCCTTCTCTAGGGACTGGTCCTGCCTGATAACTTGACCAAGGTATGAGAGAGGAAGTCTTGCCATCCTTGCTTCTAAGAAGCATTCTGGCTATACTTTTTCTAAGACAGATTTGTTCATTCTGGCAATCCATGGTATATTCAATATTCCCCAACACCATAATTCAAATGCATCAATTCTTCAGTTTCCCTCATTCATTTTCCAGCCTTCTCATGCATATGAGGCACTTGAACATATCATGGCTTATCATGGCTTGGGTCATGTGCACCTTAGTCTTCAAAGTGACATCTTTGCTTTTAATGCTTTAAAAAGGTCTTTTGCAGCAGATTTGCCCAACGTATCATTTGATTTTTTGGCTGCTGCTTCCATGGATGTTCGTTGTGAATACAAGTAAAATGAAGTCCTAGACAAATTCAATCTTCTCTCCATTTATTTTGATGTTGCTTATTGGTCCAGTTATGAGGAATGTATACACACACACACACACACATATATACATACACACACACACACATATGTATATGGGGCAATCTACTTCCATAAAGATTTATGCCTTGGAAACCCAGTGGAGGTTGCTATGAGTCGGAATTACTTGATGGCAGCAGGTATATAAGAAAAAAAAAACCAAAACCAACCTCATTGCCATCGAGTCAGATTCAACTCATAACGAACCCTCCTTGGGTTTCTTAGGTGGTATCACTACAGAAGTAGATTGCCCAATCTTCCTTCCAAGGAGTGGCTGGTGGGTTTGAACTGCCAGCCTTCTGGTTAGCAGTCAAATGCCTTAAGCACTACGCCAGTATATATACATATACATATATATGTATATATATATACACATGCATATACATATGTGTGTGTGTATATATATTTATGTACACACACACATATATTTATATATCCCAGTATGCAAAAATAAAAAAAAAACTGAATGTAAAGATGGAATCATTAACTTCTAATTGATAAAAAATGAAAGATAGCAATATTTATGCTAGAAATACCATCTTTTAGAACTTGTAGGTAAGCAAACTATTTTGAAGATGGGCAAAGGAGATATGGGAGGGGATTGGGAAAAAAAGAAGCTGTGGGAGGGTAGGTGGATAGATAGTAGATAGGAGATAAAGAGGAGTCCCTGGGTGGTACGAACAGTTAATGACCTTGGCTGCTATCCAGAAGGTTGGAAATTTGAGTCTACTTAATGGCAACATTGAAGAAGACTGGCAGTTT